TTTCTGTTTCCTATTTGAGTCCCTTAAAGGAGTAAGTTATTATTTCTATTTAAGGTGCCTTATGAAAAATATAAGCTTTTTAAAAAACACTTATATGAAATAAGGCACCAGGGACACGCTGACCCCTTTCAGAATGTTCAAGGCTGCTGTGAATGGTAAGCTTCAGTCCTTAAGAACTTTTCATCTGGACTAATTATTTGGTTTGCTTTTTTTGGATTGGACTCATTTGTTGAATAAGCTTTCCTCATACTACTATTTCAGAGGGAGAAAAGGTAATACTCTTCTACAAATTATAGATCTGCTTACCTACTTAGCAGCTTATTGAGAAATGTATGCCAATTCACCCTCAATGAACACAAGCCAGGCCAGCCTTCTCAAACCAATATTCTTCCTGGGGAGCATCTGGCTCCAGGCAAACTGAGTCTAGTACCTGGTGGTGACGTCTATTCGGAATAACATGTCTCTTGAGTTCCATGTAACTCAAGGCACAGATGGAGCAGAGCCCCCAGAGCACAGTGGGTGCATCCAGGGGGAAGATGCCCCCCAGGCCCCAGCTCTACCCCATACACGTACTGCCCCACCTGGACCCACTCCCTGGGAATTCCAGATGAGCCAAAGCACCACCTCCAGGTCAGGGAGGGACTGGGACACCACCGACATCACAGAGAAGGGAGCACTTCACCCACTCTTCTTACAGGTGGGGAGACTGAGGACCAGAGAGGGCAGGAGCCTTGGACTGTGTGCCCCAATCTGCGTGTACACACACACACACACCCTTTTTCTAACTCGGACCTTGCTGGATAGACACCTCTTACTCCTTTTCACCCAGGGTTGATGTGTAAAATATATACCACCCTGGTATAGTGAAGACACGAATCCATCAGAACTACCCCACAACTGTAGTTCTGGACAGGGTCCGAGGGGGCCCCTTAACCCATTGAGTGCTGGCTTGTGGGGAGGTCTGGGGGAGAATAAAGAGGAGCAGGCAGCTAGGAAAGCCAGACAGAGCGCTAGGAGGATGTTACTTGGATGGCTCAAAACAGATGGAAAGATTTTAATGGTTTAAGAGCAGGTGGGCCTGGTGCAGTGGCTCACGCCTGTAATCCCAGCACTTTGGGAGGCTGTGTTGGGGGGGTGAATCACCTGAGGTCAGGGGTTTGAGACCAGCCTAGCCAAAATAGCAAAACCCTGTCCGTACTAAAAATAAAAAAATTAGCCAGATATAGTGGCACACGCCTGTAATCCCAGCTATTCAGGAGGCTGAGACAGAAGAATCACTTGAACCCAGGAGGCAGAGGTTGCAGTGAGCCAAGATAGCACCACTGTAATCCAGCGTGGGTGATAGAGCAAGACTCCATCCCAAAAAAAAAAAAAAAAAAACAGGCTGAAGATCAGTTGTGCCCTTGCCCAGTTCCTGATTGATGCGCTGGAAAGAACAGAAAAACAAGCAAAATCCTACATGCAGAAAACATGGTTTTATTGGAATGAAGCAGAATCACCGAGGCAGGACGAGCTCATTAAAATTGCTGGATACCCTTCGCCATAGGCTTCTCTGCACACCAGGGCCCAAGGTATCGGTGGGGACTGATGGGCTCTTGAGGGCTAGGGAACACAGCCGCATAAGCGCAGGCTTCACCTGCCTTCCCTATCTATAGAATTGCCCCCTTTTTGGCAGTAAGGACAGTAAACATCACTACCTTTGGGTCTCCAAGCCCCCAAGAATAGCCCCACCCTGGTCCCCAGCTCAGCAGCAAATTCCACTCATTGTCCTCATTGTGTTCTAAACCTAAAGAAAACAAGGCATCATGCCCAGCAGCTCCTCCATGAAACATTAATCACTGTCCCCTCCTCGAGAGGTTTCTAACCAGTGAAGGTGTGACCTACAGGAGCCATGGAAAAATCCCAGTGGGTCAGCACATGGCCTGACCACGCCATGGGCGGGGGGACCCGGCACCAGTTCCTCCAGTGCTTTTCCAGACTCCTGACTGGGGTTCTGGGGATACTGAGGACTGCCTAAGAATCCCAAAACGGAGAGAACCTTCCCTGCATCTACCAAATCCCCCAAAGGCACCGCGGTCCTTGTGGTCTAGTGGCTTTAAGCCCCACACCCTTCCATTTGGGCCCTCAGAGCCCACAGGAGCGTTGAGATGGGTGGCCGTGCTAGGGCCTGAGCTATGGGCCACTAACCCCGCTGACACTTCACCACATTTGTGACCAGTTCACGACTCCTAGTCCTGGGTGCTGCAGAAATCAAGTCTTTTCCCTATAACCTCTCAACACCTCTCCAGGGCTGGGAAAGATGTATCCCCTTGATTCTGGAGGAGAAAGTGAAATGTCAAAAGGGGAATATGCATCTATAAGGAGCTCTTGAATGTTTAGAAACCCAGGAGAGGTTGATCCGATGCTTGAGGTCATAGTATGTGTGGCTGAAATCCAACCTCAGGCTGATGTGATCGGTCACCTCTGGGCTCTGGCTGACCCTCTGACCTGTCCCAGGGTTCCTAGGGGGCCTCAGAATAAATGGAGCAATTGCAGAACCACGACTTTTTGCTCTTGTGAGTTTAATGGAAAGACACACGTTCTAGGATTCAGTGGCTGCTAGATTACATCCTGCTTCCTGCTGGGCCGGGTGCAGAGGGCACAGCCTTCCAAGCCAGCTGAGTCATTCCATGTGCAATCTCAAGGGCCGGGCCGGGAGGGCATCTGATGGACATAGTGACCTGTTGTCTGGTCTCATCAGGGACCCAGCCAGAGAGGGACAACAGGTGCCCTCCACCAAGTCACATCACATGTGCAGCTGCCTGAATGTTCAACAGCCTGAGGACAAAGATTGAATCCTGGGAGCTTTCAGGAAATTTACTACTTCCATTAAAGTCTGATGAACAAACAGACAAGGTCTCAGCTGCCCAAGGAGTCCCGCTTCATCTGTTATTCCCTCAAAACTCTCCCTGCATGGGGCTGTAGAGAAGATGAGAAGAGCAGCGTTGGGGATGGCCCCAAAGAGATGGGGTGCCTGGAGCATTAAACGCACAGGCTGGAAGCTGACGAGTAGTCTGGGATTGCCTTTGCCCTAAGCTGTTGCCCCCTTGCCTGATGGGTAGCTGAGGCCACTGAGGCCCTGTCTTAGTGCATTATTATCCCTCATGATGCAGCATTGCCCTTCCCCTTCTCAGATACTCTGCTGGGTGAACACGTTTCCCAGACATTTTTCTCCCAGGGAGAGGGGTAGCCAGGCCCTGGAAGACAGTGGGGAGGCTTGGGTGGGGCCAATGCTAAGGGGAGCAGCCTCAGGCCCTGTGATGCCAATGTGTCTCAAGCAGACACCAAGTCCAGCTGACCCTGGAATAAGCAGGCTTCTCCTGATGCCGGGTGGCTCCAGGGCTGGCACTTCTCCCTTCCCCCTCCCCATGCACACTCTGCTGGAGTGGCTGCACTCGGCACGCAGCCTGGCTTCCTGGCTATCCCAGAGCTTAACTTAGCAGGAATCATGGCAAAACAGGCCAAGACCACATTGTGGAAAGAGCCTGATCTTTGAAGCCAAGCAGAACATGTTCAAATCCCAATTCTGCCACCAACATGCTGTGTGGCCTGGGGAAAGTCAGTTCATCTTCAGGGACTCTGGCACCCTCTACAAATGGGGACACGAATCTCTACCTTCCAAGGATGTTGTAAAGATTAGAGCGAATGTATGCAAAATCTCAGGGAGATTCCTCACACATAGTGAGTGCTCAAGAAATAGCAGTTCCCTGATGTCTTATTCAGTCCCTGCCTCTTGGCTCTAGGATTCTATATCTAAGCAATACACTAAAGAAGGCTGTGTCATGGAATGGAGGTGAGTGGGGGTGGGGGTCAGAGTGAGTGAGTAGGAGTTGAGGTGGCTGGACCCACAGCGGGGGTTGGGAGGGCTTCAGTCCTGGAAGGATGGGACGAGTTAAGGAGACAAGCCGAGAAGGGCTGAGACAGACAGCATCGGCACACCCTCACAGGCGGGCCTGGGGTGCAGCGGGCTAGCTGGTAGCCGATTCCCACAGCCTGGCTGGCATGCTGCCATTTATACGCCCCTCTCAAGCTGGGAGATAAGTTTCCTTATCTGTTAAATGGGCTGGAGGTTCTTGCGAGGGAATAAAGAGTGTGCAGATGTGATGCACTGGTTTGCAGGGACTGAGACAGCCGAGGGACCCAGGGCACACTGAAATAAGAAAGCCTGTCCCGTCAACACGGCCTCAGTCTTCACTGTGGGGGTGCCTAGCCCCTGGCTCCCTGAGACCGAGCCCCTCTTATAGCACCGTCAGCCAGGTGTTCCACAGAGCAGGCAGGAACCATGTGTCTCCCAGGAGCAGTGCCAGGGCCCCGGGACCTGCCCATACACTATTTCCCAGCTCAGCCCACTGCCATGTTGATACCTGTTCCCTATGATCAGGCAGTGTGTGTGCATGTCGGGAGGGTCAGGAGCCGGGGTCCCAATCTCAGCCTGATGCAGAGCCAACCGCACTGGGCTCTGATGAGCAAGTCTGTCTCCCATGAGACGCTCAGCCCAGGTCAGATGGGTGGCAAATGTGGGTGGAGGGAAGGAGGACGGCGGAGCGATCCCCAGTGTTCCCGGGGTCCTGCTCTGTGGAGGGTAGAGAGGATGAGGGGCTGGGGGGGCTGTTAGACTTCAGGCCTGCTTTCCCCCATCCCTTCCATACTCAGGAATCAGAAATGGCTCCCATTGCCCCATTTAAACTGATCAGAATTCTGCCCTTTTCCCTGCCCCAGATCTTCAATGTCATCCCACTGGGCTCTGGAAGTCTCCTACTAGGAGTAGGACCTGTGTCCCTCAGATGAAGTCTGTGGTGTGGCTGTATCATCGCCTGAGGTCAGGAGTATTGAAGGCAGAAGGGGAGGCAGTGGCTCCTCCTCAGACTGAGTCCCTAGCAGTGGACTGATTTCCCTGTGGAGTAATCCAGAAACATTTGTGGGGACACGGCATCGAAAGAAAAACTGCAAGAAGCCTGAAGGACCTTACAAGTCATTTTCCTTTATTAACATATAATGAAATTCCAGCTCCAAAGAGACAATTATGCAGAGCAGGCAGACGCAGGGCCCTGGTGCGCAGCAGCGTAGAACCAGGCTGGGGGTGGGTGTGCCCCTCTCCTCCATCACCACCCTCCCCACTCCTGGCCCCTGGCCATTGCCCAGGCAGAAACTGAGAAGCTGGAAATGAGAGGAATGAGCCTCGTGGTCCAGGAAGTAGCCACAGCCAGGGCCTTGGTTGCTAGGGCTGGCTAAATCATTATCTAGCTGAAACGGAGGGCCTCAGTTTCTTTATCTGTTAAATGGGCTAGAAGTTCCTGCTAGGGAACAGAGAAGAGTGTGCGGATGTGATGTGCTGGTGACAGCTAAGGGCCTCCTGGTTGTCCCTCGGCTTCGAAATATCTGCGTAATTGTGTCTCTTTGTTTCTGTGGCCATCATGGCTAAGTGCACAGTGGTGGAGCTGCTCTGGCCCTGGTGGAATTGAATGGACTTATGTAGATAGATGAGTGGAAGAACTCAGCCTTCAGAGCTGATTCTTATCTCCGAACTGTCCTTGGGCTGCAGCTGTAGCTGCCTCATCAGGTCAAGGCTGACCTCTCCCCTCCAGGTCAATGCGGAAGGAAGGCTGTGGCCAGGGGTCACGCAGCAAAACTGTGCAGGTTACTCAGCTGCTCAAATGCCTCCAACCAGGAGCTCGTGAACAAGAGCAGGACTTGCTCCATCCGCTCAGGACCAGCTGAGGGCTTGGAAAAAAAAAAAAAACCCTGAGCCCCAGGAGGGCCATGCCCAGCCTCCATGGGCTGACCTGCATCAGGGTCATTCTGTCCTCAGGCTTTGGCCTTCAGCGAGCCCAAGTGCTCTTTGATAGACATATACCAGCATAATGGTGACCTGTGTCTACACTGACGAGGGGGTAGAGAACTGAAAGGATGAGCAAGATAATGCAGTGACAGATGGAAAGACCAACTCAAACTCAGAGAAGTAACATGGGTATTTCTCCTTCACCCTCTAAACGGCTTCATTCTGCAACAGCAGGCCCTGTCTTGGGAACACCCTCCACAGGGAAGAGAAAGTTCCAACTGCCTGGCTGTCTGTCCATCTCTGCTTTGTAGCCTGCCTGCTCTGCACACATGTACACAGAGGCGTGTGGCGATAGCCATGCCCCTGGCGAGTGGAAGGAGCAGCCCTGGTCTAGACCACGTTTTCTGGACCTGTGCTGTGTCTGCACTCAGGGCTGCAGGTCCGTATAGCTCTCCCTGTCCCTGCCACTCTGTAGAAGGAGGTCGCTGAGGCCCTGAGACAGGGATGATTCCAAGGTCAGGCAGTAAGTCTGAGCGGGCGGGGGCCTGGGAGCAAGCAGAACTGAAGGAACAAAGCTTGCCCCTCCCCTGCACCTCCTGGGATCTCTTCCCCCTCCAAGCACCATTGGGAGCAAGGTGCAGGTTAGGAGGAGGAGGGCCGTGCCCAAACACACTAAGCAATTACAGTAGAATCCCAGGCACCTACGCAGGTGGGTCGATGAGCAACTTTGGAACGAGGGGGGGACTTTCTGGCACACCTCCCATCCCACTCTGAGAGGTGACTAGCAGGTGGGTCCCTCTCTTTCACCTTCTCCACGATTTCAGGGGAGTGGGTGAATTGGTAAATCTTGGTCCCCAGGAAGCTCTGAGGCCAGAAAACAGAAAGAGAAAGAAAGTGATAGAAACACCCCCAAATGAGGCTTGACCGTGCAGGTCTGGCAGATCTCGGGGAAGTGAGTTTGGCCAGCTTGTCAGAGTGTCTACAATATGGATTTCACCCCTCCCCTCCCTCCGCCCGCCCCTGCCCCTGCCCTCTACGTGGATGCCCGGGGTAGACCCCTTCTATTTGGGCTTCATCTCCACCCTGGAGTTGATGTCGTCGGCATCCAGGTCGTACTCCTCCACCTGGCCGCTGGTCCACACCTTCACGCGGTCTGTGAGGTCACTGCTGCGCGGGGCCAGGATGAAGTCGTAGATGAGGACAGCCAGGGCTCCCCCAATGAACGGCCCCACCCAGAAAATCTAGGAACAGAGCAGGTGTGTTCAGAAGGCTGCACTGAGAAGCCCTGGGAAGAGTTCCCTGCGGTACCCCCGCCCGCCCACCACCCTGTTGGGCAGGTTTTCTCCCACCTGAGACAGGCAGGCAGGAGGACCAAATCCTAACATCCGGATTCCGGTGCCCCTCAGAACCCGCCCAGGCCAGGCCGTGTGGTGAGGGCACCTCCCTGCCTCTGCATGGCCCAGTTCAGGCACAGGCAGTAGCAGCCCCTTCTTGAGGAAGGCCACCACCCCGACTCTCCCAGCTTTGGAAGGGCCCCCGAGACCGTTGTTAATGCAAGGCTGGCCTAGCACATCCACATCCGTGACAAGAAGAGCTAACATCCACCAGGCGCTGCCCCTGTCCTGAGCTCAGTTTACAGATAGGAAGTAAGCCCTTTCCTCCTCTCAGCCACCCTGGGAGGTGGGCACCACCATATCCCCCTCCACAGCTCAGGAAACCGAGGCTCAAGCACGCTGCTCAAGGTCATGCTGAAGCTAAAGGTGGCAGGGCCAGGATTTGGAGCCCCACTTTCAACCACGCTGCTGGGATGACCTGGAGGCCGGGCAGCCTAGGGCAGGGCAGAGCTGGGAGGGCTCAAGCTCAGTGTGACCCCGCCCTGCCCCTTCGTGGCAGGCCTCGGTTTCCTGATTTCCTGTGCCCTGGCTGTCTCCCAGAGCCTCCAGGACAGGAAGGGATGCTGCCAGGGTGGGGTCTGGCTTAGCATGGGACACCAAAGCCTCCCACCCCCCACCCTGTGCCGTAGGCAGCCCGTGGGTCGCCTACCCAGTGGTTGCTGAAGTTGTGTGTGATCACCGCAGAGCCGAAGGACCGCGCAGGGTTAATCCCACAGCCGGTGTAGTCAATCTGTGAGGGAAAAAGACAGAGGGAGGGGCGAAGGCAGAGTCACAGGTGAAGAGAGAGAGGAGGGAGAGAGAGAGAATAATCAGGGGTGGGGGACAATGAGACCCAGAGAGAGAAGAGTGCTGACCCCACGCTGGGCAGGAGGTCCCTGTGCTCCTCTCCAGGGCAGGACCCAGCCCCCACCCCCCAGCCCCAGTGCTGGCCGCCATCCTCCACCCCATGGCAAGAGCCCTGTTGAAAGTCCCACCGGCTGCCCACGGCAGGGCACCCCACCAGCCCCTGCCCTCCCTACCCCTGCCTCCACCTGGGAGGGTCCCCAACTCACAGCCAGGAGGTGTCCGAGGGCTACAGAGAGGCCGATGGCGAGGGGGGCTGAGCCACCAAGGTCACGGCGTCTCCGGTCGGTAGTGGCCAGGACGCACAGCACCAGCTGCAGGGTCCCGATGATCTCGATGCCCAGGCCCTGGCCCGAGTTCACGCCATCAGCCAGCTGCAGGGGAGAGAGGTGAGGAGGACCGGTGAGGAGGGTAGGCAGGGACTGTGTCCCAGAACCCCAAAGATCCCCAGACCTCCCAGGCCCAGGCAAGAAAGGCAGACCCTCAGAGGGGCCTTCAGAGCCCCTCACAGGGCCCAGGGCAAGTACATACAGCAGGTGGTGGAAATCAGGCCTCGAACCCTCCCACTGCTGTGGATGAAACTCCAGCTCAGCCTCTATGACCTGCCCAGCCCCAGCCCCAGCCCCAGCCCCAGCCCCACTCTGCCTAGAAGCTGGAGACCCGTGGGGTGAGCTGGGGCCTTTGCATCCAGCTGCATCCTGGCCACGTTACTCTGGGGTACCAAGGCTAGAGGCAAGGGGCGAGTCCCAGGCATGGGGGTGATGGTCAGGAGCACGGTCCTAGGAGAAGAGATGCAAACAGGTGGGAGGGCCCAGCAGGGGACATCGCTTCATACCCAAAAGTCCAGAACATTCCACCCCATTCCTGACTGCATCTAAATTCCAGGGCTGTGGGGGCCTTCAGTGAGCCCCCGGCTCCCTCCGCCCTCTCTCCCCACCGTGCCTGCCTCCCTTGTCTCCACCCTCTCTCCTTCTCCACCCATCTCTCTTCCTGGTCCAGGCCCTGTCTCCCATTTCTTCTGGTCCTGCCCTCCCTGTCTCTCCTTCTTATTCCTCCCTGCTCCTGGCCCCAGTCTCACCCTCTGTCTCCCTGGCCAGATAGGCCCCCCCCACCACTGTCTGGCTGCCACTTGCTCCTGGGCCACTTTTAGAAACATGACTCATGGAAAGAGAAGGGAATGGGAGCTGCAGTGAAGTCATGAAAATTGTCCCTGTGCAGCTGCCCCAAGAGGACCCTCCCCAAGGAGCTCCAACACCATCCACTAAGCTTTGTGGCTGTCCCAGGGGTTCAGTGCACTCACACAGGGGAGCTGGACCACATCAGCAAAGGCATATTTGCAAAGATGCCCAGATGAGGCCACTTAGGCTGCCTTCTCCCAGCCAGGGCGGATGCACCCAAACACTTCCCAGCTGGCAGCCCCACTACCCAGCTCCCATTCTCAGGGTATGGGAGTGTCTCCAAGGTCATAGGGAATTCTGCAAAACCCAAGGTAGGGGGGCACACCTTGGAGGTTTTCCCAGCTCCACCCTGAGGCCATCCTACAAGAACAATTCTCTTCCCGGCTTTGTCTGCAGCCCTGGGTTACAGGGAATGACTCACATCCCCTCCCCTGCCTTGCAGCCCCAGATTTGGGCCTTTCCTGGCAGACCCCAGAGCTACATCCCTATAGGTCTGCCAGACCTCTGGGCAATGACCAGTTCCCTTTCTGTGCCAACATTGGACCAAGGAGGCAGAAGCCCTGGGTTCAGGTCCTGCCTCTTTTACTTTCTGGCACCGTGAGCATGGCCTATCCCCTCTGGTCGTCAGTCTCCCCATCTGCAAAATGGATCTCATTTCTCCATGCCTGCTCTCCAGACCAGCCGGGAGGTTCAAAGGCTAAAGGGGCCATCTCAGGGCATTTGCCGACGCAGGAGGGACGGGGCAGTGGTTGTGGCTCTTGTTGTGGTTCTTCTCATTGTGTGTGTACAATTTGGGGACAGGCAGAAGGAGACATCTTGCCTGCATAAATGGGAGTGACAGCAGCTGGAGCCTGCCCAGAGTCAGGACAGGCTGGACGGGGTTGAGGCTGGTGAGGCCAGGCTGGTTAGTCCTGATGCCCACCCACCCACCCCTGTCCCTCTGTGTCTGAGCCTTCAGGAAGCTCACAGCTCCTTCTGTTCCTCTCTTCTCTGCTCTCCAGGGCTGGCCTAATTGCTAGCTGGCAGAAATCCTGAAGCCAGCCCTTCCGCAATGATTAATGGAGCCATGGCTGTACCCGCCTTGGAGAACCCTCCCAGCCCCACCCCTCACAGATGTGACCAGAAGGAGCTCATCTCCTCTGGTTCTTAACCAGGTCTGAGAGTCCCAGCCCCTACCCAAAGATACCATGCTTTTCATGCAAAGTGGGCAGAGCAGAAGGTGAGGGTTCCAGGCTCTGTGCTGAGTCCTTGGGGAGGGGAGGGGGCAGTCACCTGCCCCGGGAATTCAGGAATATGTCTTCCTGACTGCTGAGAACCACATGGGCTGACAGCCTTCCTCTCTAGTACCCACTACCACCACCACCACCACCAGCACCAGGAAGCCTCCCCTGATTGCTTCAACATCTACTGACAATCTTCCTTCAACTACCTAATACACTTGCATTATTTACATCTGGAAAAACTTGCACACATTTCTTCTGAAGCGTCAAAAAGATACAAGCTCTCCATTTTGTGCTGAGCCCTTGTAAGCCCACTGCTCAAGGCCCAGTTCAGACCCCACCAGCTCCTAGAAGCCTTCCCGGACCCCTGACTGGAATTAACTTCTGCTCTCACCTGCCACGCCCACACTGAATTCTCTGTGCATCTTGTAGGAAACCAATCTTCCTGCGGCCTATGTGGGGGCAACTCCTCCTGGCTTTGGAGTTCGGTGAGGACAGGGTGGGGGGCCTCTGCCATTTCGTGCCCACACATCTGAGGGGAGCCTCACTGTGTGGTGATGGAAGTAGTAGAGATGCTAATTTTCTAGAACTCCCACCCTCGAAAGGGGCAGCCTGGCTCCAGAGATGCTCTCCAGACCCAGGGCTGTCTTCTTCACTTTCTAGCTGGGAAACAATGGGCCAATCATTAGCCTCTGGGGGCCCTACAAGGCAGCCTGTGCGATGGCTCAGTGAGATGATGCTGTGGAGGCTGAGGCCCAGGGAGGATGCAGCAAAGCCAGGATCCTTGTCCCATGGGCTGTGCCACCCTACACTCACAGGTCAATGGGCTGGACGCTCCTAGGCCCAGCCAAAGGGACCTGGCTATCCCCAGCTTGGACTCAGGAGCTGGCAGAAGGCGGGGCTCTGGGCTACCAGTGTGTCCTGGCTCAGGGGCAGCCCAGGAATGATCTCTCCGGGCAATGTACTCTAAGCCCTCCCTGCTACCCACAGACAGGCCAACCAGGGTAGCTTCCAAGGCCTGGGGCCCCTGACGGCCTGCCCTGGCCTTGAGGAACAGTGGGCTCCAGAGGCCTCCAGACCTGACTGAGGCTCTAAGCATTCATTCGCAGGGGACAGAAAACACTGAGACCTTCCCTGCCCACCCCAGTGCCTCCAGGACTCAGCACTGGGCAGTGAGGGGACCTCTGTGGGCCCCACAGTGTCACTCCTCCGTGGGCGTTCACACATGGACATGGGGGTATTCCTGGCTTTGTGTCTCTGCATGTCTTGTAGATAAGTGTCTGCTGTGTCTGTGGATGACCACATGTGTCCAGGGTTCACTCCCTCTTTCTCTTTTTTGTTAGATTGTAAGTGATTTATTACACAATAATTAAATTTTAAAAATCTGTAAAAGAACTACAAAAATCCCCAATCTGCATGCACCAAACAACATAGCCTAAAAATAAATGAGGGGAAAATTGACAGAATTATAAGGAGAATTGGATCACTCTACCACCAGAGTGAAAAATTGTAACAATCTTCTATTAGAAACGTATAGAACAAATGAAGCAGCCAAAAACTACCAATAACATGAACAGGGAGGATTTGAACCACATCATTAACCAACTTGATTAAAAAAAATATTAAAAACCCTGTACCCCTGAATTAGAGAATACATATGCTTTTTAATCTCGTGGGACATTCATACAACTGGTCAGGTAGTGACCAAGAGCCTCAGCCCTCCCCAGGAGCAGCTATCACACAGGGGTCTCTGCAGGACAGGAGATCTGGAGGCCATGCTGTGTGTCTGCACTGGTGTGTCTGATGGCACTTCTGAGTGCTTCACTGTCCCTGTGTCACACCCACACAGGTGCCACTACCAGCTAGACAGGGAAGAGAAAAGAAAAAAAAAGAGCCCCTCAAGTGAGAAGGCAGCAAGTCTCGACGAGCCCTTTATTTGCTCCCAGAAGCCATTTCATCTTCCTGACAAGAAACAATACACAAAGCAATAGCTTCCTCCCTGCCTCCCTCCTTCTTTTCCTAACTCCAGCTCAGGGAAAGGAAAAGGCTCCATTGAGGAACCCCCGCCCAACCCTCCTCGGGTCCCAGACAGAGCCTGAGCGGGACCACCCAGTCTTGAGAATGAGTTCTGTGTACCGTGTGTGCGTTCCCCATGTGAGAGCACATATGCGTGCATATTTGTGTTTGTGCAATGCTGTGCACTGTGGAGCAGCAGAAATAATCAAGGGCTAGGAGACACTGCCACCTTGACAAGCCTCCACGCTTCTGTGGTCTTCAGCTTCCCCATCGGTAAAATGGAGGCCTTGGCTCAGATTCTAGCCCCCGGCAGTCTCCAGATGCGCCTTCTGCCTGACGTCGGGTGGTCATTCTCTAGCCCCGGATCCAGAAACCTGAGCACAGGATCCCCTGCAGGCCATCAGAACTGCTGGTTTCAGTGTGACACAAAGCCTATGTTGCAGAAGCTGTCACCTACCCTACTACACCCCTGCATAGAAAGGCACCCCCAAAGTGGCCTCCCCACCAGATAGTGTCTGTTGCACACCCCTGATGACAGGGAGCTTATTGACTTAGAGGGAGCCCCTTCTTCATGTCAGCAGTGACAACCACCACCTTCTTTACACTGAGCAGAAACCTGCCTCTCAAGGGGCCTTGACCATGATGAGATTGCAGGCACTGAAAGGGCGGGGAGAGGGGCGTGGGAGGATGATGGGGCAGTAGCATTTTCCAGCCTTTCTGGACATCTTCTAAGTTGGAGATTTCAGCCTCAGAGTGTGCCCACGCCACTGAAGTGTAGCTACTGGCTGAGTGAAGACAGCCCCTCATGATCCCCCTGGGCACCATTCCATGTGGGCAAGGAGCCCCTCTTGTCCCCGGGGGAAGCCCTGACTGAGGGGACCCAGGCCACCTGCAGGACCTTGCAGAAGGCATTTTCCTGCCTTCCTTCAGGTGTGAGCGCTCAGATTCCAGCCATTCAGGAGACTCCAGATTTGTGTGTGTTTCCAGAAGGTAAGGGCCATGGCCCCTGCTGGCAGGGGGCCCTAGGCTAAGTGGGGGCACCATCTGGAAATGCCTTGCAATGAGCTAATGGCCCCTCACGCTGCTGGAAGGCTGCCCTGGGTGGAGAGGGGGAGGCAAGGTGTGAGAGGAGGCTGTGGCCTGGCGAGGTGCAGGAGGTGGTGAGCCCCTTAGGCATCCCGGGGAGCTGTGTCCCCTCTGAATGCAGGGCCCCTTCAGACCAGAGTTCCCAGTGCAGGCCCTGGTTAGGGCAAGCATCGGGGTGGGCAACACTGGGACCAGCTGGGCTGTGCTGTGCTAAGGGCCCTAAAGGAGAAGCAGCCTCAGGATTTTCCGTGGTGAGGGAAGTCTCCACCACAAAGCTCCCGCCCCTCTCTGTGCCTTCCCTGTCATCTGGGACTGGCTGGAAACAGTAATTATATGTCCCAGATGTGGCATCACCACCCAGCCCCCAGCCCTCCCTGCATAGCCGGGGCTGGACAGGGACATGGAAACTCTGCCTGCCTTTCCCCAGCCCTCCCCTGAGCTCTGGAGGAGGTGACAGGGCCCCCGGGAGAACTGGTGGCATGAAGGGGCCTCTCACTCTATGGCTAGGGAAACTGAGGCCCAGAAAACAGGGTGAAAGGGAGAGTTTAGGGCTTCGGTCAGGCCCCTGATGCTGCAGGTAGAAGCACTTCTTGAACAGTCAGGCCCTGAATTAGGAGGGCTGGTGAAGACCCCAAAGAGGGTAGCTTTGCCCTCTGCCTGAGCCCAGGGGGCAGAAATCACAGGCTCTGGGGATCCACACTCCTTCCCCTGGATGAAGCCCCCGGCCTGAATCCTGAGCCCTCACCACCCTCCCTCCATGCCCCCCAGCCTGACCACACCCCACTACTGCCAGACACTGCCCCCCAGCCTGACCACACCCCACTACTCCCAGACACTGCCCCCCACCTCCTCCCACCCTGTGCTTACACAGTCCTCTCTGGCCCTTCCCTTGGCAGGGTCTCCACATTCTGGTTCCTGCGAAACCTCCTCCCTGATGCTTTCCTGGACCTCCCACCCTTTAAGTTCAAAGGTTCCCAGGCCTCCTGCCCTGACACCTCTTATCGAATCTGCCTCCTGCTCCATATCACAGGCAGCTGTGCACTGGCTTATCTTGCCATAGGGCTTCTCCGGGGAGGGAGCCGGGCTAACCCGGCCCTGCACTGAGCACCCAGCAGTCCCCGGTCACGCTTACAGGGAGCCGGCTGAGCAAACCAGACAGCAGAATGACAAAAACAGCAAATGCCAGTAATCCCAAGTCCATCAATGTCTCCTACTTCTCAGAGCGTGGCCATGCCCTGCTATGTCCCTATCTCATAGACAGGAGCTAGGACCATACAGGCTTGTCTGTTGTGTGATGTCACATGGTGTTAGTGGCTGAGCTAGGACGGGGACAGGCAAGAGTGTCCCCCCACAGCCTCAGAGCCTCTCACCCTTGGCCAGAATTGGTATTTGGCTCTTAGAACTAGCCAAGACCTTGCAGGCTGGATGGAGGCCCATGGTCTCTAGAGGGCGTATCCTGAGCCCTGACTCAAGTCAGGAGAAAGTTGTCCCCAACATGTCTCAAAGGGACACCCCTGACTCACCCCAACCACTTCCTGCCACCTCTTTCTCTGTTTTCCTTGGAAATCTCCATGCCAACAACTTGCCCCACCCAGGTTTTGGCTGGGGTGGGGCTCAGGGCCAGAGAGGCTGCAGGAGTCTCCCCTGGATCATGAAGGAGAGTGTGTCACCTGCTGCCCAGACCAACCCCTGTCCCTTTTAAGGCATCCAGGCCACCCCTGAGGCCCCTCCAGTTCCAGGGCCAGTGTCTGATGGGAGCCCTCTGGGGGATACCTTCTCTGTTTCTAGGCCCAGAGTTGAGCTGCAGAACCCCACCCTTCCTGTGGGGACAGGGCAGCGCCTGAGCCCCCACCGCAATGCATAGTGCCCTGATGTTCAGCACTGGCCCTGCTTGGCTGTTCTTAGCCAGCCTCCCTGGGATGGGTGATAAGTGCAAAGCAATGAAGTGAGCTGGCTGTATGGGTGTGGCTGTGAGATGTCACAAGACCTAGGTCCCCTCTCGAGATTCAGGGTCTGCAGCTCCAAGGAAGCTCAACAGGTTAGCTGCAGACAGGTCTTGAATCCAGGTGTGTGCCTCCCAGCCCAGGGCTGGCCCCCACACTAGGCTGCTCCTCTTTTTCTCCTATTTGCAACATGCCCAGCCCAAGTATTGGGGTGACTATAAAAAATGGAGGCCAGGGAGGACATGGGACATGGGAGTCGGGTGTGGCCCCTGATCCAGATGGCACAGATGGAGCCCGCCCTCCTGCCTCTGCCTCGGATGCCCGTACTGGAGTGTGAAGCCTTTGCCAGCAGGTGCAGAGGTACTGCCCTGTGAGATGGGAGGGAAGAGATGGGGCCAGAAAGCCTGGGAATCACAATCCCTCCCCTACGGGGACCCTTCCCCAGCCCGTGATGCCCAGCCAAGCCTCAGCGTGAGCTTGACCCTACCCATCGGAACTCCCTGAGGCCATAAGCTCTGCCTCCACTGGAAACTGAGGCCTGGGGCGCAGAGCTTGACGTGGCCTGCCTGAGCTCTGTCCCTTACATCCCCTGTAGCCATGTCTAAACTGGCTAAAGTCTAAACTCCAGCCCAGGGAGCTAATCTTCAATCTTGGGCTGAGCAGAGGTTGGCTGCAGAGGAGGTTGGGCAAGGTGTCACCGTGACACAAAAGTGCTAAGCCCCCCGTGGCCGGGCTGAGCCAGCTGCCCTCTGCACCAGACCTTTACCTAGCCTCCTGCTGGCTGCCAGCACCGGGATCTGAACTTTGGCTAGGAAGAGAGAGGACAGCTGCTGTAATCACTCCTGCCATCTCTGTGGCGCCCTCAGAGATGGTGCACACCATCCCCACACCCACCTGCCCTGCCCACAGCCCCGCCAGCCTCCTCTCTCTAGATGAGTCCTCCTCTCTGTTCCTTAGCCTCCCTCCCTCCCCATGCAGGCCCTCAGAGACATCCTCGAAGCCTTCCTCAGTCTCCAGGCCAAATCACCCCCTGCTATGGCCCAAGCCCGGCCTGAGTTTGCACTTGTCTGAGGAGCTGGAAAAGCCCAGGTCTGGGATAGCAGGCAGCTACCGCCAGCAGCCTATTACCCGTGCCAAGCAGCTCAGGAGACATTCTTTTCCACAGCTGCCACCCAGTCACCAGCATCTGCTTATCATTAGTGACCCCAGTCCAGACCCCATTCAGGCCAGGAGCCATGGGCACGTGTGGTTATAAACTCACCCCCACACACCCTTACACGGGTGCACAAACATGTGCACAGTTTACACAAGCTCAGAGACCCATGCTGGCAAACACGTGTACACATGCACACACAAACAGACACACACACGCGCCACACCTGTCAGTGCCTGGCCCCCAGCCCACACTGTAATCCAGGAAAACCCCTTTCAAACAGTGTCAGAAAGTGTTTCCACTCCCTTATCTTTGTCTAATTCCCAGGGGCAGAGGAGTGGAAGAGGGCCCTTCTCTTAATTCCTAGAGGTGATGTGTGTGGAAACCTGTGTGAATATGGGGGGCTCCCCAGAGGCCTGGGGGCTCCCTGAGGGAGTCTTGCTCACAGACTTGCAGAACCAGCTGCAGACAGGCTGGGCATCGGGTTCAGGGTGGCTAGGGATGGTGGGCAAAGTTTCCCCAGGGTGCAAGGCTGCAGGAGGAGGGAGCTGGCAGCACAGGCAGGACTGAGAAGGGCCAAAAAGCTACAGCCAAGGGGCGAGAAACGGCTGGCCAAGCTTATTCCCCATAATAAATGCCCTGCAGGGGACATTGGCAAGACCATTATTCTCTGGCTTTCAGCTTCCCACAGTGCCTGACGGAAAACAGGCTCTGGGAGGCATGCATAGCTGAGTTCTAGCCCCAGCTCCCTACGTGACCTCCAGCCACCTCTTGTTCTCTCTGTTCCTCAGTGTCCCCATCTGCACAATGGGCCGAGGATGGAACCAGTGCCTTTCAGCATCATTCTAGAACACCCTGAGCCCAGGGACACCCTACTCACGTCATTGCGGCCAAGCGAGTTCCCAGGCAGGGAGGAGGTGATGCCGGAGAGGATGGCGGTGGCGACGATGGCCCCCACACATTGGGCAATGATGTACATGAGGGCACGGAGAATGCTGATCTGGCAGCTGAGCAGCAGCCCCAGCGTGACGGCTGGGTTGAGGTGGGCACCGCTGATGTGGCCCACGCTCTGCGCCAACGTGGCAATGCTCAGTCCGAAGGCCAGCGACACCTTCACATTGTCCTGGACTGCCGTCTGGTTGTTCCCCACTGGGTATTTGAAGCCCAGGGCAGAACCGATACTGATGAAGATAAAGAGGGTCATGGCCAGGAACTCGGCCACCACTGCCCTCCAGAAGAGCTTCTTCTTGAACTCACTGGCCATGCTGGCAGGGGGCTTGCCCTGAGACCGCTGCCGGGTGCTCAACTCCCTCTGAGAGCTGAGCCACAGCCTGGGCTGGGCCTATTTATAGGGGCAGGGGGGCGGGGGGAGCACAAAGGGAGGAAGGCCTCTCTTCACTCCTGGCCCGCCCCACACCACACGGGCCTCCTCTGGATGGATGCAGACTCGGCTCTGCTGTCGGCCTGCCAACTTTTTCCTTCCTCCTCTGCCCCCCTCCCTCTCTCCCTCCGCCCTCAGCCCTGCCCAGCCCAAGGAGGCAGGCAGGAGGCGGCCGTTGCTCTAATAGGCTTTGGGAAATTCCTCCAAGCTGGCCTCACTCAGGGGACCAGAGAAACACAGGTGTCTCCACCCTGTGTGCAAAGCTCAGGGGGTTCCTGAGGGTAGAGCCAGGCACTCCAGAGTGGGCGAGTGGGTAGGCTGGACTCGGTGGGTGGATGTTGCCCTCCCTGGAGGCAGGCACCATGATCCTGCTGGCCTGACATCCCCATCCCAACCCAGAGAGGGACTGGCCTGGAATCCCTGAGCCCAGGGCTCCCGAGGGGCAGTCGGGGCCTCCTGCACGGCCACTGCATGCCATGTTAGGGATGTCCCAGAGCCCCCAGTCCCACCAGCCAAGCCTCTGTGGAAGCAGGCACGGAGGCATCAGAAGGTGCAGAGAGGTTGTCCGTGGCTGTTCTCTATGCTGTGAGCTTGGCAGGGCTGTTAGAAAGCCCCCGCCCACGGAGCTCCCAAACTTCTCAGGAGCTGTTTGAACCAATGATTTGAGGGCTCGCTGGTGACGATGGAGACAGTTTCAGACTTTCAAGGCAGTCACACTGGCAGGTCACTGGAAAGGTGGAAGGAACGGCAGCCCGACCTGGCTTTGGAAGGTGCTGGAGACGAGGGAGGGAGTGAGCAGGAGAGAAAGGGAGAGACAGGAAGATGCAGGCTGAGGGGAGGAGAGCAGAGACACCGAGAGAAGGACGGACAGTAGAAGGGAAATAGAGCCAAAGTAGAAGTGAAAGACACAGATCCCCAGCCAGAGACAGTGAGACAAGCAGGGCTGAGAGACAGAGCACAGAGGGTTAAGAAAAGACGAACTGAAACAGGGAGATAGGACTGGACCCAGAACCAAGAAGCAGAAAGGAAGACATAAATGAGAGGCAGAGAGCAGGAGGGGCCAGACGGGCCCCCCACAGCGGGAGGGACCAAAGCCCTCAGGCAGACCCCTGTGGACCCCCTGTGCCCTGGGCATCTCCAATCCAGAGGTCCAGCGCCAGCCGACAAACAACAAGAATCTGGACTCCGGCCAGCAAGCCGTCAGGAACCCCGGGGCCCAGCCCTCTTGCCTGCTACATAGAACGTGCTGGACAAGCCAGGCCCAGGAGGGAGGGTCCCCCTGTGGCCCCTAGGAAGGGCCTGGGATACTCTGGGCTCTCCTCCCACCTCCTGCCTGCCCCACCACAGTCTCATTCAGCAGTGTTGGCATCTTCCCATTATAGGTGGAAAACTGAGGCCCAATGAGAGGACTCCTCTGAGTTCGAAGTATGCTTAGGGCAAGGCAAGGATGACTGCATCTTGTACCTCTTGTCTGGGGGCCGTCTTGCAGACAATGACGCCAGCCGTCACTGATCACCCCTCTGCCTAGCTGTGGCCTGGCTCTCACCATAAATTGACAGGGTCCAGCCTGGTGTGTGTTTGCTGGGGCTGCAGGAGATGCATTCCCCTAAGTGCCTGTCCAGGATGGCGGTGGCCAGTACGCCCTGCCTGCTTAGAGAGCCCGGGGGGCCGAAGGTCATCAGCACTTCCTTAGCTGTCCAGGAGAGGAAAGTAGCTCCGCTGGGTCACTTCCTGGGCCCTCCTCTACATCCTTTCCTCTGAGGAGCCCTGGCTCAGCATTCCAGGCTCTGGGAGGCTCCCTCACACCCCTGGCTCCGGGCCCAGGGCCCCTTGCCCTAGCAAGGACACTGACTCACATGAGAAACTCTCTGGTCAGTTCCAGGGGCATCCAACCAGAGCTCTCTGCAGGACTAGGACTCCCTCAACTTGAAGTTTTAGAGAGCAGCCCGTTTCTCCTGTAGATCTGGCTCCTGAGGGTAGGTGGGGGTGGCACCCCTCAGACCAGGGTCCTCTGGAACGTGACCATCTCCCTCCAGGCCATAGGCTCCTGGCTGTCTCCAGCAGACGATGCCTACTGAGGGACATACACACCACCCTCCTCCTCCCCACACCTGTTCCTGCTCTGCTTGGTACAGGGCTATGTTCTGAGGCTGGCAGGTGCTGGGAACCAGCCAAGAAGACTTGAGGGAAGAAGCAGGGGCAGAACTGGCACCAGGCCACAAGGGGCCACTGAACTCAGGCCATGTGGCCCTGCAGAGTGGCACAGACAGGAAAACAGGCCTGCATGGACCCAGGCATGTCCCGGGTGTCCATGATGGTGTCCATGTGCAGGTGAGGGCCCACAGTTTGCTACTGTACATGTGGATGAGGGTCATCTGAGACTTACTAATTTATCCAACATATAGTTGGATAAATGTTTAGTGTGTATCACAGGCCAGACATTGCTCTGGGTACAGGGAAGACAGACAAGAGCCAGGCAGACCAGCTTCGGTTCACACACAGTTTCCATCCCATTAAGAGCCCGTGGGCTCAGCGAGGAGAGGCTAATGATTGTGGCACTGTAGAGAGAGAGAGAGAGAGAGAGAGAGAGAGAGAGAGAGAGAGTGTGTGTGTGTGTGTGTGTGTACTCAGCAGAAGCCCACCTTGCTCAGCATCGGGCAGGTGACCAAGGGACCCAGGGGGAACTGGTCAAGCAAAGCATTTTGCCCAGGCAGATTAGATCCCAACAATCTCACGATGCTATGAGGCTCCTCAGGGTGCCACTCCACCACCTCCTGCGACTCTCATCCTCCCCCCCTCGTCAGCATGGCCTCTGCCTTTAATGCCACCATTACATCTCCATTCTTTTGGAGGAAGGCATGGCTGTCACCAGGAGGCGCCACCAGAATGCAAGCATGGCCAGGAGTGCCAAGAGCTCACGTGCCCACCATTGCTGAGGGTCCCTGTGGCTGGCACCTGGCCATGTGGTTGGAAAAGGGAAGGATTTGCTGTTGGAGCCCCAGGCCCAGGGATGCCTCCAACCCCTCTGCCTCCTTCTTGATCTGCCACAAATGCAGACCAACCAGAGAAGGAAGGAAGGAAGGACACAGCGTCCAGCTGGGGCTTGTTTCCCGAAACCCCGGAAGGCTCAGATTTGTAAATGACTTGCCAAAAAAAGGCAGAACTGGCACTAGAACTCAGGACACCCCATCCCAGGGCCTGAATGCAGTTCTCTGCCCATCTGTCAGGAAGGGCCCCTGATGACCTGGTTACCAGACAGAAACCCCAGTACAAAACTTGGGGGCTGCAGGCCAGAGGTGCCAGGATGGGTGGGGCAGGGAGGGAGGGGACAGGCTCCAACAACCCTGTATAATTGGGGTGGTGGGTGGGAAGGGAAGCACCGGCTAAAAGTACGCACCAGAGGAGTTCAGGGCAGCCAGAGCCACCCCTGTGGTCCCAGTGAGCCCTAGGAGGCTGGTCTCCGGGCAGGTGCTGTGTGCAGCCCAGCTCTCCTCCCGGACTTCCTGATTTGGCAGGTGCTGTCCGCTTGCACTCTGCTGGCTCCTGGGTCTTCCCATGGACTCGGGCCTGAGCCAGGCTAAATAAGGGGGCTGCCCCCACCCCCGCTTCTAAGCCCTGGGCGGGGCTCGAGGCTACTAAGGCTGGGCCCTTCCTGGCCCTGCTGACAGCAATGGTCTTGGCAAAGGCTTTTCCAGATGTGCCTCATTCCTGACTTGCCCCAGAGACCCGCGTTCCCGCCAGAGCTGGCTGTTCCCAGGACTGTCTGGGCCCCGTCTCCTGGTGGGAGAACCTTGGGCTTCATCCGGAGGAGGGTGGATGGAGCCTCAGATGTTGGCTGAGGGTCTAGACCTTGGGTGTGGCTGAGGCTATCGCTGGCCAGAAGCTTCTGCTGAGTGCAGGGCAGAGGGGACGAGGTGGGAAGGACCATCCCTCTGGGGCCACCAGGAAGATGGGGTTTGGGGTGGGAGAGGACTCAGAGAGCAGACTGGTCCTGACCATCTAGTCACCATCAGCTCACCCACAGCTTGGATGAACTTTCCAGAATCATGCAGGCTTTCCTGAATTGGGGCAGAGAACCCTGATGGAGGGTGGGAAGAAAGGACCCAGTCCCCCAGGGTCCTGGAAAAGGGGTGGTAAAAAATCAGAAAATGCTCCTCCCAGTGACTCTGCCCCAACTGACCAGTGGCTCCCAGCTCTGCTTGAAGATCCTGCACAGGGCATCCACTGCCATCCCCCTCCCGACTCTGACCTGCTTACCCTGGCTCTCAGGACACCCGCACAGGCCTGCACCCACAGGAGGCCATGGGCCATACTTGGTACCAGTCTGGAGTGGTCCTTTGCATGAGGCAAGGCCAGTCCTCTCCAAGCCTAGGGGAGCAGACAAGGGGCCCAGGCCCAGAACACACAGATCCAGAAAAGAGACAGGAGGGCCCCAGAGCCTGTCAAGGTCCTCTGCCTGGAGCTCTCCACTGACCATCCTTTTGAGGCCCTCACTACCCTTCCTGCTCTAGACAGAGGCGTGGCTCCATGCCCCAGACTCGCCAAGCCTGGGTGCTGACATTCTCACTCTTCCTCCTGCCACAGTGCCGTCGCTCTCCTCTCCAGCTGCAGCAGCCCCTCCTGACCCTTCCTCCACAAGACCACCCTCAGGGAGGGCCAAGGCCATGCTCACCCCAGGCCCACTGTTCCCAAAGCAGGGCCTGGGCCTCTGTGTCCCTGCCCACCATGCCCCCCCGCAGAGCTGAGCACAGGGCTAGGCGTGGTGGGGGCTGATCCTGGTGGTATCTGCTGACTCTCTCAATCCCCTGAGAGACGAGAGAGGCACCCACCTCACAAAGCCTATGAATTCCTGTCTGACAGACAACTCCTGAACATTTAGGCGTCACACGATCTCTCTTAAATCAAAAGCGGATTTAGCGGGCCACCAGTGATTCACCAGAGCTGGAACAATTTAGTAATTTTCTAGGCTACTGCTTCCCATGTACTTCTCCCCTCCTGCCCCTATCCTGTCCTCATCCCCACCCCTGCCTGCCCTGAGCACTTGGCCAGGCTTACTGTCCTGGGGGTGCAGCAATAATGCTGTACCCATTTCTTTCTGGAAAGCACCATTTTCTGATGTTTTACCATCAACTCTCCAGCAATGGCCCCTGCCTGATGCTAATAGAGGATGAGCCACAGAAACAGGGTGGAAAAAAGTTGCCATCAGCCCAGCTGGGGTCCATAAGGGTTT